TTGCATGCATCCCAGCTGGGTGGAGCTGGGCAGGGCCTTTCAGAGCAGCTCCTGGGCCCTGGGAAAGCTCAGCCCCCTCCAGTCCCGAGTCCTCTGCACTGCTCCTTCTCCCACCCTGAGCCGCCCGCCCTGGGAGGCTTGAAGGGGCCTGTGGAAGCGTAGCCCTGCATTTCCCACGGCCCAGGGGTCCACGGTGTGGACGTGCACCAGCCCTGTCTCTTCTGCTTGGCCTCCCTGCCCTGCGCCTTGAAAGGGAGGACCGAGCCCTGTGTCTGTGGTACCAGCCGGGACAGGAACGGGCTTGCTGAGTTCAGGAATTGGTCACACCAGAACTGGAGCAGGAAGTACAGCTCTTGCACCTGGCTGTTTGCCTTCTGGAGCTACAGCTCCCGGGAACGGCCCCCTGGCTGGTGCCCACTCCTGCTCCCACTCTGGAGCCAGCCTCTGGGATTTTCCAAGGAAGGAGAGGTTCTGCCTCTGCCTCTGCTAATTTTTTGCTTCTCTGACCTTCACAAAAGGAGCCTGGTGGTGCAGTGGTGAAGAGCTACGGCTGCTAACCAAAAGGTCGGCCGTTCAAACCCACCAGCCGCTCGCTGGAAACCCCATGAGGCAGTTCTGCACTGTCTTGTAGGGTCAGTCGGAATCGACTCAACAGCAAAGGGTTTAGGTTTTTTGTTTTGTTTTTTTTTTAAACCTTCACAGAAGCAGGGCAGGGGAGAGGATTTTGGGGGCGAGGGGAGGTGGGGATTCTGATGAAGCCATCCATCCACCTGGCGTACCTGTCCTCCTCAGTCTGGACAAGGGCCGTGTCCTCCCTTGCCTCTTGTCACCTCCAGGACAGTGGGTCTTGGGGAAGTGAGGGAAGGGGTGTGTGTGGGTGCATCCTAGTCTATACCAATAGCAAAGCCTCTCTCCAGAAGTTGTCCTGGGACCCTAGCAGCTGGGCCAGCTTCGGCCAAGCCCCTGCTGGTGCTTCCATCGAGGGAGTCTGCCACAGACGGAACCATTAATCCCTTAAATTGGATCAAAGTCTCCCTGAAAGGCCTCCCCTTACTGAGGCCCCGACTCCAGGGATCACCCTCCAATGTGTGGGAAAATACACCGACCTCTCTTCCAGGCAGCAGGCAGATTTTTTTTTTCCTTTTGGAAAGACAGCTTATCAAATAAGGTTAACAGGGTTTTTGTTCATGACTGTTTTCTTCTCACTACCCTCCCTCCAAATAAAAAAATAAAGCGTGCTCAGAATCATTTTCCTGGGATTTTCCCTCCAGATTCATTGCTGGGAATCAGCATAAGAACGAGGTTGTGAAACCCCACGCAGGCAGCCCCTTCTCTCTGTAAATCCCCAGAGCAGGCAGCTCAGGGCCCTGCCCGGGTAACTGTGCTGACAGACTTGCCCCCAGGGTATTCCTCCAGGGCATTCCCCAAATCCTAAAGACCACCCTCTCCACACCTCCCCTCCAGAGATAAAGCTTCCTCCTCCTGGAAGATAAGTTAAAATAAGGTTAAGAGCTTGGCTGCTAACCAAAAGGACAGCAGTTTCAATCTACCAGCTGCTCCTTGGAAACCCTATGTGGCAGTTCTGCTCTGTCCTGTAGGGGCGCTAGGGCAAGGGGAGGGGTGCCAGGGACCCCTGTACACTGACCGGCCTTGGCACCAATCCTGGGGCAGCTCCTGTGGGGGGGGCCTATTAGCCCCCGGCTTTGTGCACATCACACCTGACCTCTGAAATGCAAAGACCTCCACCTCTGAGTCTCCAGGGCCACTCAGCCACTGCCCCCCTGCAGGTGTATTTACAACAGAAGCTGTGGGAGGTGCCGGTTCAAGCCATGCTGGACTTGGCCCCCATCTCTCCCTCCCGGTCTGGGCTTGGCACCCCTGCTCCCTCCTGGGCCTTCACACCAGCCCTCTGCAGACTGGGCCCGGGTGCCTTTCCCAGCCATCCCCCTGCTCCACCCCGACGGTGCCTGGCCCTTGGGGATTTTCTTTGGCGTGCAGTCACCTTTTAGCCCCACTTGTTCAACGCGGAGCAGAGTGCTTTGCAGCTCAGAGGGCCTCGGCCTTGAGTGCTCTGTCTCTGGGGTAACCACTGCTTGGCCATACTCCTGCCCTTTCCCTGCCCCCACCCCAGCTCAGTCAGGCTGTTGATTGTCATTGGCAGTGTCCCCTTAAACATTAAAAGAAAAAAAAAACTTGCATTGTACTCTGGTTGTAGAGAAACAGTCTTAAAAAGCAGAAAGATGAAGGACGTCCTGGGGTACCTTCTCCCCAAGAGAGTTGCTTTTCCACTCTGGTACACTTGGTCCTACCCCTACGGCCACATTCTATCACCTGCTTCCCTGGACGCCACCAGCCCCTCCCCCACAACACAGAGGGCCCTCTGTCCCAACTCTGTGCTGCCAGCCCTGTCCCCAGGGTGCCCCCTCCCTCACCCACTGCTCCAGCCCATCCAGCCACCTGCCCATCCCCAAACATGCCCCACCCTTGTTTTCTTGCATCAACCATCGGGATCCGCCTTGCGTTGTAATCTGCTTTACCCTCACGGTCACCCCTGCAGGGCCAGCTTTGCCTCAAATCCTGCTGTTCCTTTGAGGCTTCTTCTACTCAGTCCTGTAGGGTCGCTGTGAGTCAGAACGACTGGCCGGCAAAGGGTTTGGTTTGGTTTTTTTTTTTTTTTAAGTTTAGTAAAGGATCCCTGGTGGCACAGTGGTTAAAGTGCTCAGCTGCTAACCAAAAGGTCAGCGTTTTGAACCCATCAGCTTCTCTGCAGGAGAAAGATATGATGGTCTGCTTCCTTAAAGATTACAGCCTTGGAAAGCCTGCGGGGGGAGTTCTACTCTGTCCTATAGGATCGCTCTAAGTCGGAATGGACTGGATGGCTCTGGGTTTTTAGTTTAGTCACTTACTCCCTGAAGCCTTCTCAGATACACTCCCCAGCCCCTCCCACCACCAGAGCTGGTGGGCCCTTTCTCCTTTGGGTCCACAGGAAGCTAAGATTCAGTGTTTGCTTTCCAAGTGGTTGCCTTCCTGAGGCATCCTTTTTCCCTCTGGTGTCTGAGTGTGAGGGGCCGTCTTCGTCACGGTGCCGGGTCCTCCTCGGCCCTCTGTATGTACTTGTTGAGTGAGTGGGCACCTGTAGCTCTTACCTGTGGAAGTGCAGTGAAGCCCCAGCACCAGCATTACCGGAAGGGGGCCACGAAGGCTGCAGTGGGTCCTGAAGCCTGTGGCCCCTCCCCAAAACAAGGCCAGGCTGGGGGGCAGGGAGTCCAGGGGAACCACAGAGCGGAATCCCCGGGGGAGAGCAGCAGCGACCTGCTGGCACGCCAGCCCGGCTGGGTGACTCAGCGGCACCAGCAGCTTTGGAGACCTGGCAGGTGGAGGCAGGTGGAGCCAGCCGGGGCTGCAGACAGATCTTCCCCACCCCAGTCAGCACTCCCTGGGGGCACACATGGGGTGGCGGCTAGCCCTCCCCTCCATGTCTTCTCTGGGCTGCCGTGTGCAGCACCGCCCTGTGGGGTCAGCCGGTGGAGTCAGGCCACCTGTGGGCCGGAGTTATGGTGAGAAAGAGGCTGTGTCATCCCAGACAGGGCAGGTGCTGCTGAGGGGAGGCCTAGCTGGCCTCTGCCCTCGGGGCTTTGTGCTGCGGTCTTTGGGTTCAAGGAGACAGCTCTTCTCTGTAGTACTAAGACTGCTGCCCTCAAATGGCCCTGCCTCCTGGGTCTCTGTAAAGAAGCTTCCGCAGTTTCTGGGGCACCGCCTGCCTCAGAGACGGGCACTGTAAGAGGGCAAGATGAGAAGATCAGGGGAAGGCGGTAGGGGACGTTGTTGGGCTGGTTCAGAGCTTGAGTCCCATCGTCGCCCAGCGCGAGCCCTGCTGCCATCTCGGGAGCAGAGAGGCCTCAGAGCCGGTTGTCTGCCACGGGCATGACCGCAGGGTGGTTATCTGCCGCCCTCCCTGTCTTAGAGGTTAGGAGTCTAACGGGATCAAGGCAGCAGGAACCTCTGAATGGGGGATGGGAACATCTACAGACAGGAAGCAGGAGACCCTCGCATCGGACATCCCATCTGTCTCTGGGACACTCCCCGTACCTCACTTTACCCAAACAGTAGGAGTTGTGTGGTGTTGAGTCGATGACAACTTGTAGCAACCCTATAGGACAGAGTAGAACTGCCCCCATAAGGTTTCCTAGGCTGTGATCTTTATGGGAACAGATCGCCAGGTCTTTTCTCCTGCTGGTGGATTGGAACCGTGGACCTTTTGGTTAGCAGCTGAGCACTTAATCTTGTCGCACCAGGGTTCCTTACACAGTAGGGGAATGTCCTATAAATGAATGGATAACAACAGAACCCAGGCATACCCTGGGATCAGCTGAAGGTGGCCGGTGTCCCATGAGTAGCTGGGGGTATGTAAATGCTTGACCCAGCGCACCTCCCATGCATTTCCCATCTTCACCCATCAGCTCCTGTCAGCGTGACTTGACTGTCTAGAGAGGGTTGTGCAGGTGGGGTCCTGCTGAAGGAGTGTAGGCTCCGGGAGGCGGGCGGTGGGGGCCACGGTCCCCCACAGGAGGCTCCTTTTTCTGTTTACCCACAGGAGCCATGGGGCTAGCTGTCCCAGTCATGGTGACCACAGGTGTGTGTGCCATACGGAACAGAGACCGTGCAGAGGGTCAGAGCGGACGGACCCCTCTCCCCAGCAGGCCTTCTCTCGGAGAGGCCCAGGGCTAGGTGCTAGTGTGGGTTTTGGATGGCAGAGAGGGCGGTCATTCATTCATCAGAGGTGTGGGGGACTCACAGCACTGAGCTGGGGGGCTCGTAGCCTCGTGTACCCAGGCGCTCCGTGAAGGTGGTTCCCAGGGCGTTGTCACTAGAAGCGCAGTGCTCGGATGAGCCCTGGCCTCAGCTCCCCGGGCCTGAGAGTGAGGATTCTGGAGGCAAAGGAGAAGACAGCTCTGCTTGGCCGACTTAGAGAACTGTCCTCACTGGTGTTCCCTCCCCAGGTCTGCTACCTGTGCCACAGCCTGCTGACCCTGGCCGGGATGGTGGTCAGCTCACAGGACATCACCCCGGACCAGTGGGTGAGTCTCCCAGAGGCCGGTGCAGGGGGAGGTCCCAGCTGTGTCTTCTCCCCCGAGCAGTGTGGGATCAGCCGGGATGGAGTCCAGCCTACTGTTGGAGCTGCAGAGTGGGAGGCTGAGGAAGAAGTGGGCTGAGGACAGCCAGGGGCTCGCCTCCCTCCAGGGTCCCACGAGGCGTTCCCAGGGGATACTGACCTTGCCCCCAGCAATTACCTCAATCCTCTCCTCCCTTTCCTGCCCACCCTTCCTGCCCTACTTCTGAGTGGTCACTCAAATATGTCCCTTTCTTTCTCTGGCTTTGTTTCCCCCTCCACTTTGGATGCACCTGGCCTATGCCACGTGCCCCCCATGGCCCCACCTCCACAGGGGGAGCTGCAGCTGCTGTGTGTACAGTTGGATCGCCACATCAGCACCCATATCCGGGAAAGCCCTCAGGCCATGCACCGGACCAAGCTCAAGGATCTAGCCACCCAGATCTACATCCGCTGGCAGGAGCTGCTGGCCCACTGCCAGCCCCAGGTGGTGCCCACCCCCCCCCCACCATGTCCCCTAGGCCTGGGAGGGGAGGGGAGGGAAGTGGTCAGGCAGGGCTGACCAGAGCAAGCAGCGTGTCCACCCCCACTGCAGCTGCTGAGCTTGTGGCTAGGAGATGGGGGAGAGGGGCAGTTGGGAAGGTGGAGATGCCTGGGGACCTTCATCATCCTTATCAAGAATCAAATGTCCAGTGTGGGGGTGAGTGAGGGGGCAGAGAGGAGCCCACGCCTGAGCAGAGGCAGAGAATCTTAGCTTTGGAGAGGGAAGAGCCTGGGCCAGGAGCACCCGTTGATCGTGAGCAGTGCCAGGAAGGGGCACCAGAACCACCAGCTGTCCACCCTCTGTCCGCTGGTCCTGCAGGCCTGAGGCTGGCCTCTGACTCTGCTACAGGAACCCTCACTCCCAGGCCGCCCTGGTCCCACCCTGCTTCTGAGAACAACCTCCACACCCTCAGCAGTACCTTCTACCCCAAAAACCAAACCCACTGCCGTCAAGTCAATTCTGACTCATAGCGACCCTATAGGACAGAGTAGAAGTGCCCCAAGGAGCGGCTGGTGGATTCTAACTGCCGACCTTTCGGTGAGCAGCCGAGCTCTTAACCACTGCGCCAGCAGTATTCTCTAGGTAATAATAAACCACAAAGCAGTTACTGTCGTCAGCTCTGACTCACAGCTAACATTTATTGAGTGCAGACCCTTTTCTGCAGGAGCCCTCAGTAATCCCCGTGAGGCAGGCATTGTTACTATCCCCACTTTACAGATAGAGGCTCTGAGAGGCTAAGTAGCTTGCCCCCTCACGCAGAAGGAGCTCGAAGCCAGCGTGACTCCAGAGCCGGCCTGCTAAGCTCCTGCCCTGGCCCCTGCTCTGGCCTCCCTCTTTCCGGCTGGACCGGCGGGCTTGAAGGAGCTTCCCTCTCTGAGCTCCTGACCCTGGACTGAGGGGAGCTGGGTCCGGGGAAGGCCATTTCTTCATCCAGCACCCCAAGGCTCCTCGGCTCTCAGCTTGTCTTCCCCTCTCTCCTTGTCCTTCCCGCATAACCTCTGACTCGGGGCTGACACGCTGGCCACAGGCTGTGGCCTGGCTCTCGGATTTTGCAAGTCTGTGAGAAAACTGGAGAAGAAGCCTCACTCTCAGTCCCACACCAGCCTCTGGTGGGAAACAGTGTTCGTCACACAAAGAGGGAAGGTGATTGGTGGCCCAGCACCACCTTACTTCCACACTCTGGGGGCCTGAGTGAGCCGTGAGCCACAGGCAGCCCCAGCAGAGGGCTCACCTTGCTGCGGTCAAGTGGCCTGTTGACCTGCTGTGTCCTTACCTGGACTGGGAGACCCAGGGGTCTTGCTCACCTGCGCCGCACAGAGGAGGTCTGCTGTTGTTAGTGGCCATTGAGTCGGCCCTTGACTCATGGTGACCCATGCGTAACGGGACAGAATGCTGCCCGGTCCTGTGCCAGCCCCATGATCGGATGTGGATCCAGAGGAGGCCTGCAGTGGATGTTGGATGGACGCTGGCACGTCCGGGAAGCCTGAGGACAGAGTGGGTGCCCCCCGGGCCCCAGATGGTCACTGCCTGTGTTTCTCTCACTGCCGCAGGTCCAGTACTTCTGCCCCTGGGAAGACATCTAAAGAAGGCCAGGGGCCGGCCCGGGACGTGAACAGGGCCCAGGGCACTGAGGAAGCAGAGGCCAGAGGCCCCCCAGATGCTGAGCAGCCTGATGAAGCAAGAGCCTGCCTCCACCACTGCCTCACTCCCACCCGCCCGGGAATCCGGCCTCTCGCTGCCTGACCCACCCCGCAGCCCCCTTCCCTCCCGGTCATCTCCTCTTCCCCAAGGCCTTTGTCTCTGTACAGCTAGTTTCCCTGGGCCTCCCTGCCGGCCGGCCTCAATCCTCCCCGCCCTCCTTCCTCTCTCGCTGTCACTAATGTGAGGTTTCTTTGTGCGTCTTAAAGTCTTATTTTCCACATCAGCGGTTTAGAAGACTTCCTTCCATCCCTGTCCTGAGGGCTCGTGCTCAGCTTTCCTTGTTTCCTGCTATCTCTGCTTGTGCTGTGCCGGTTGCCGTGAGTTCTCACCTCGGAAGGTCCTGCCACAGGCTCAGGCCCTGCCCACCTGGCAGCAGAGGGCTGTTTGTGTGGCTTGTGGGGGAGGGAGGGAGCCATGGAGGGGTGGGGGAGCAGCCCTGTGGCCTGAGAGCTGTCAGAAACCCCTGGAAGCAGGGATGGGGAACATTTGTTTGGAACCAGCCTCAGACCACTCCCCACTCCCTGCTCCTGGCTGGAGGATATAAGGAGTGAGTTGGAGGATCAGGGCTGTAATTACACTTAATTCAATTTAGTGTTGGGCTCTGAAATCAGCTCCCCAGACTTCGGAGTGGGAAAGGCAATCCCAGCTACCGCTTTTGCTTTCAGCCTTGCCCAGATCTGTTGTGGGTCCTGACCCTTTATGGGACTGGGGTGCTGGGATGTCTTTGACCTGTGCTCCATGAGAAGTGAGGGGCCCTCTGTACCCAGGAGATCCCTGAGTATCCATTTCTCTCTGCCCACCCCAACCCAGAGAAGCCAGTCCCAGTCTATGGCCTGACTATGTTCTGGGTTGAGATAGGGTTTTGCAGGGGGCACAAGAGGTAGGAAGTGACAGAGGATTACCCTTACCAAGCTGGCCTGTGCCCACTCCTCACCTCTGCCCTGGCTGTCTCCTGATCAAGCCTCACCATGGCTGGTATGGACTGCTTTCTCTCTGTGCCTTTTTCTTTACAGTCTTCCATGCCACGAACCGAAAACCAAACCCGTTGCCGTCCAGTGGATTCCGACACATAGCGACCGTGTAGGGTTTCCAAGGAGCGGCTGGTGGATTTGAACTGCTGACCTTTTGGTTAACAGAGGAGCTCTTAGCCACCGCGCCACCAGGGCTCCAGTCATGCCGTGGGGGTTAGGTTAAGGACCTTCAGGCCAAGTGGCTCAGTTTTCAGACCTGAGTCCGTCACTTCCTGGGCCTGTTACAAACACCGCTGCCTCCCTTTCTGGAGCCCTGGTGGCACAGTGGGTAAGAGCTAACCAAAAGGTTGGCAGTTCAAATCCACTAGCTGCCCCTTGGAAACCCTATGGGCAGTTCTACTGTGTCCTATAGGGTCACTATGAGTCAGAATAGACTCGACGGCAACAGGTTTATGGCTTCCCTCTCTGGGGCCCCAGGATGCTAGGAGCCTGGAGGCATCTATTATTCAGAGTTCAGGGCACCTGGCACACGGCTGGGTACCACACCGATGTCGCTCTGCCTCGGAGCCTCTGCCAAGAGATAGGTGGAAGAAACCCTCGCCAGGGTGACGGGTGTCCAGGCAACTCAGCTGAGAGTTCTGGTTTCTGTTCCTGGCTGCATCGCATGCCCTCTTGGCGGCGGCCCCTCGGAGGCCTCAATGGCATCAGATTGGCCTCAGATGCCGAGATGGAAGAGTGAGACACTGCCCAGGAGGCAAGCCTCCCTCAGGGCTGAACGTCCTGGCAGTTAACCCTGGGGGTGTCAACCCTTGGCCATTCAGTTCTCTCTGGAAACCTGGAAATCACCTTTGAAATTTCCCCTCTTTGTTCTCACTGCCCAGGGCAGAAAGGGAGTAGGGAGGTCTGAGAGGCTGAATTGGGGAGTTTCCAGTTCTCAAGCTGCCCCGACCCAGCTCTCAGGAAGCGATCAGGTGTGGACATCTGGGGCCCTTCTCCCCAGTCCTGGATCTTGTACACTTACCCCATCCTCCCCTGCTCCCCAAGCATACTCATCCGCAAGAGAGAAATAGATACCAAGGAGAGAGGAGGTGTTGGTGATGACTCAGTCCCTCTAGAGACTGGCTGTAACCTGAGCAGAGGTGTGCACTGCAAGGTCACCCAAGGGCGTGTGCTGTACCCCGGGACCTGCAACGGGCCCTCTAGGGGGCTGGCCTGGGCGCTGACCATATCTAAAACCAGTCTGGGCCCAGTGAGAAACTCAGGCTCCTGGATACCAAGAACTCCACAGTGGTGCTGGCAACACCACCGCTTTCCCTCCGGGTCTTTGACGTTTCCAGATCCCTAAGCTCCTGAGAAACGGCCGGGGGATATCCTGATAGAAGCCATTGGAAAAGCAGCATCCGGGGCTGTGATGACGGATGTCTTCCGGCTTCCTTTTGGTGGTGGTGGCAGGGAGGGACTGAGAAGGGAAAGGCTTCCCAGGTGGATGGCTTTGATAACTCTCTGCAGGAAGCAGAGGAAGTTATTTTCCTAAGTCCCCACTCACCTCCGTCCCTAGCCCCTCAGAAAGATCCCTGAAGGGCGGCAGACCTAGCCTTTTCCACTTCCCCAGCTGGGATGACAGTAGCTCCTTGGGAGTAGGCCAGGCGGCAGTGTTGGCTAGAGAGCCCCAGTATGCACCCCGGGCCTCCTCCCACTAGAAGGCTGCCTCGGGAAAGGTGGGAGATGAGTAGCTTGAATGAGGGACGCCATGGCGCATGGCCGGTGTACAGCAGAGAGGGGACTTGCTTTTCAGCTCAGACTCCTGGGCCCACCTCTAGGGGCTGCCACAGTAGACCCTTGGAGAACCTCAGAAGGTGTAGAGCAGATCTCGTCTGTCCTTCCTTGACTTCACCACAAGCAGTTGAGCAAATGGGGCAAGAAGGAGGGTCTGTTAAGATCTCAGGCCTGAAGGATGGACACTTTACCTAGAATATGCCAGACAGGTACAAGAGCCTTACCTTTTTCTCTCTTAATTAAGACCCAGAAATTAATTGCACTTTTATTAAATAGTGTGAATCATAAGCAAGTAATCATTCAGGAAACTTTATCCCCTGACTGTCCTCCACCCGTGAAAAAGGCCTGTTCTGGGAATGAACAGAAAACGGCCGGAAATGAAGGTAGAAACGAGGAGAAAGGGGACCTGAAGCTTTATCTCTGAGGGCTGTTTGGGAGGGAAGGCCTTGTGGAGTCTGTTAGCAAGTCTCTCCTTTCTGCCTATGTCGTCCTAGCTTCAGGGAACTGAAACACCACTGAGGTACAGAAGAAAACTGTCCCTGCCTGCGTGGAACCAAACCACCTTTTAAAACTTTCCACTGAGTCCACCCCACAGATGGAGCCAGGGAGCTCAAGTCACTGCCTGGAAACCCTTACACCTTAGAGGCTTGGCGGGAGGGGAGGAGGATGGTGGTATGGACGCTCAAAGGTGACGAAAAACAGGAACTGGATTGGATTGCATGGGGCCTAAAAATCCTCAGGATACCCTGTGACTAAGTGGAAATGCCAGGAATTAGGAGTCCAAAGACCTGATTTAAGAATCTGACCTTGTTAATTATCTACTGGACTTTGGGCAAGGTACTTAACCTTTCTAAGACTCATTTCATCTATGAAGGGGGAGAAACAGTTCCTAGTTATTAAAGGGTTGACAGGAGGGTGGAGTAAGGAGATGCCTGTGGAGGCAGGTTGCGAAATCTAAAGCAGAGAACAGATGTGAGGGCTATTTGCATATCAGTTTACCTGTACAGGTAAACAGACACAAGGTCCAATCAAGACCACTCGCATCTTCTCGCCTGGTAAGCTAAAGCAGAGAGCCTTCTCTGTCCATCCCATGCTAATCGTTAACTGGCTCTCCCTCTATCTCCAACATCTCTAAGGCTACAGCTTTTTTTTTTTTTGGTGGAAAGGGGCTGGAAAACGTGGCTTTGGCCAGCTCGGGAAAAGGGGCCTTTATATGTACCAGCAAAGGCCCGATTGTTACTGAAACCAAACTGGCCTGCTTTTCCCAATTATCTCCACCACTATTCTGGTCTCTGATTTTCTGATGCCAAGTTTTACCCAGAACAAAAGCTGCTGTCGGGGCTGATTTATAATCCAGATCTGCTGACAGAGCCCAAAATGTACCTCCCCTCGAGGACTGCACTCTTTAAAGTCACCACGGAAGCCCTCCCGCCTTTGGGCCCCTTCCTCTCTTCCCTTTGCCCCTAGCCAGGAAGCGGCACGGGCATCTGTCTCCAGGTGCCTATGGGGTGGCCTCTCCTGCGGCTTCTCTGTCCACCTGCCCAGCTCGGAGGACCAGTTGGCAGGGAGGACACCCCAGCACCGCCCAGGAGGCCAGAGCTACACGTTACTTCTAAGAGCGCTGTGGGCAAAGGCTGGCGGTTCTGCAGATGGGTTCTTCTTCAGCGTGGTTCCCCTCAGCCCCTTTGATCTGAACATCAGGGCTTATGCCACTTGTTAATAGGCTTCCCAGTGGCACCAGGAGTCATTTCCTGGGGGTAGGCTTTGGACAACAGGAGTCAAGGGGTGCCTTCACCGGGAGGTGGACAAAAGGCGCTGAGTGGTTTGCCTGGAGCGTGAGAATCAAGGGGCGGACCGCCTCCGGAGATTGATTGGGGTCTTCCTGGCCGGTGCAGCCCGTTCCCTTCTGAAGGGAGGGGCCATTGGGGGTTGGGGCAAAGACAGGAGGAAGAATTTTAGGCCCAGAGACAGACGACTCCGGTCCGCCCAGAAGAGAGGCCTTGGCTTCCCCTGCACCCCTTCTTCGGCTAGTCCGCAGTGGTTCACCTGCGTTCGTTCCGCTGGCCGGAGATTGGGGAGCCCCCTTCAATCTTATCGCGACCCGGCCCGCGGGAGGCCCTCGGGGGCCACTTCGGCTAGACCGGGTGAGTCCGATTCCCCGCGGCGAAGCCCGGGGTCCCTCCCCCGCCCCGCCTCTCGGCGGTGTGGCGCAGACAGCGGCTCGGAGTTGCGGGACTGCTGGGCACCGGGCGGGGCGGGTGTGCGAGCCCCCGGGCGGGAGGGCGGCGGCCCTGCGGGTCGCGGCGGGTCGCAGCCCCTCCTGGGCGGGCCCGGTACTGGACCCCCCCACCCCCACCCCGCCTGACGTCAGGGGGCGGGGGCGGAGAGCCGCGGCCGCGCTGGAGAAAGCGTCTGCGCCCGCCGCTGTGGCGCGGGGAGCCCGAGCCCAGGGTGCAGACCGAGCTGGGACCCAGGCGGGGGGCGGTGGACGGGAGCGCGGAGGAGAAGGAGGCGGAGGGCGGTGCAAAGGTAGGGCGGACCGCGGGCCCCGACGCGAGGGCGGCGCCCAGGGAGTCGAGCCGCGCGCAAGAGGTGAGTGAGGCCGGGGTTGCGCAGAGCCAGGGGCGCGGGGCGCCGCTTTGTCCCCGGTTCGGGCAGGGGCCGCCGCCCGCGTGAGAGGCAGGGCCGGGGGCGCAGGGAGGGGCGGCGGCGGCGGGGACAGCTGGCCGCCCGAGAGCCTTCGTGCGCTCCCCGCGGGCTGTCCTGGGGGTCGAGAGGAGCGGGGCGAGCTGTGTCTGCAGCCACAGGGGCCAGTGGGGAGGAGCGGGGCTAGGTGGAGTGGGGGTCCTTGCTCGTGCTGTCCGGCCCGTGGCTGGGATCCTCGCCAGGGTCCGGAACTGCCCCCGGCTCCTCCAACCCCGACGGAAAGTTTGGGGCGGGCTTGGCCTGAGGCCGATGTTGTGGATCAGATTTCCCTGCGCGGCCCCTTGTCCGCCTCCCGTTCCGCCTGGGAGGCGGGTTGTCCCGGAAAGCCTGGCCCCCGACCTGAGCCGGGCGCCCTGTCCCTGGCAGGAGCGCTCGCCTGCGGCCGCGGGAGCGCCCCGCTTCACTGTCGACGCTCTGGGTGGGCAGAGCCGGGGGGCACAGTGTCTGGGCCCCGCGCCCCTCCACCCCCAGGGGCTGCCCCTTTTCCCCGCCCCGGGAAGAGCTGGGGTGGGAGGCACCGCTGCGCGGGCAGACCCTCGGAGCGCGCCGCGGGGTCCCGCCTGGGCTTGGGGTAAGGGGCAGTAGGGAGCGCAAGGGGTGTGTTAGGATGGTTGTGGGTGAACGCAGCCCCAGTCCCCCGCCCTTCCCACGCTGGGGTTCCGGGCCGGCAGGGGGCGTCCGCAGGCCGGGCTCCGCCACGCTCCGGCGCCGCCGCTTTGTTTGCATTCAAATCCCCGGAGCTGGGGGAGGGGAGAACCCGGGGGGACCGGGGACGGGGTCTTGGCAGGAACCCTTTGTTTTGGGGTGCGCAGGTCCCCAGCGCCTGTATCTCTGGACCCGGCACTGGCGGGCTGGAGCAGTGGCAATCCATCCAGACGCCCTGCTGGGGTCGGGGTCCCCGGGGCGCCATCCCCGAGCTGGGAAGGTTCGCCAGACTCGGGGGAGCGCAGGCGCTGGGCCGTTCGCGGCGCGTCCCCCGTGGTCCAAGAGGAGCACCCTTCTGCCCCCACCCCACCCCCACCTCACCGTCACCCTACCCCCGGCCCGTAAGCACAGCCCGGAGGAAGATCCCTGATTAGACCAGAGCCGGCTCTGTTGCCCAGCCGCCCCCAGCCCGAGGGCTGAGTGTCTCCTAGGAGCCTGCTTGAGGAACAGGATAAGGCCCTGGTCATTTCCACGCCCATCCTACCTACTTCCTGCCTCCCTTCTTGGGCAACAAAGGGGCCTCGGGAAGCTGGGCCCCTAGGCTCCCGGCCCTACTCCAGCCTTGCTGATGTGGAACGGGGTTTTGGGCTGTGCCCCAGCGAGCTATTGTCTACCCTGGGGGAGGGGAGAGACTGAGGCCGGTACCGCCACTGCCAGCTTCACCAAGCCCCTCCTACGGGGTCCTTCCCGCCCACTCACACCCCTCGCCCCCACGCCCGCTCACGCACTAAAGACCTTGCATCCCAGAAGTAGATCTTGGCGCTGGCTGGAGCCCCAGTGGAGGCAGGTCTTGCTTCCTGAGGTTATTTTAAGAAACCTTCAAACCGTTTAGGCTTGGGTGTGGGGGAAGGGGTCCCCCTTTTTCTTTTTTTAAACAACTTTCTGTTGAGTGGAAGGGGGGCGGCAGAGGAGAGGGCTTCGGGCAGTCTGGGAGATGGAAAGTGTCCACTCCCAGCTGACTCAGATCCTCCCCCTCCCCCCAAGGAGACCCCAGTCTTTCGGGGGCTGAAGCCAGGTGAGGGAGTTTAGGTCCCCCCCAAGGAGGGGGCGAGGGGGACACCCAGGGGGCTCTTGGGAAAGCTGGTTGGGTGTTCTGTCAGTGCCTCCCGGTGTGAGCTTGTGTGGGCCCCCTTCCAGACTGTTTCTCTAGCTGTGGTTCTGACCCTTCTTTTCCCCCAGCAGGGCAGCTGGCCTGGAGCTGAGAGCTGGGGCGTGCGCCATGGCCCCACTCTGGGCCGTCTGGCTGCTGGCAGCAGGGCTGTGGGGCCTTGGCAGCGGGGCTGAGGTGTGGTGGAACCTTGTGCCCCGGAAGACAGTATCCTCTGGGGGTGAGTGCCTGAAGCCGGGAGGAGGAAGACGGTGGGGAGTGGGAAGGCAGGAAGGATGGCTGGGGGAAGAGGAGTGTTTCTAGGAAGCGCAGGGGCTGCTGAGGATCTGCCTGCCCGAATGGACGGCTTTATTCTGCAGGCCGACTCCAGGCCCACGCTGTGTGGGGAACAGCTTTCTAAGAAGCTTGAGTGTGGCCCCAGAGACCCAGAACTGGTAGTGCAGGTCAGGACCTGGGGTTTGCCTCCAAACACTTGGGATGGCTCTGGGAAACCATTCCAACTCCCCGTCCCAGTCCTGGCTGCTCGTTTCATGCAAGGGAGACACCATTCTGCGTCGCTCTCCCGTGCTTTCTTGACTTGTCTCTCTCCCATGCTTTCTTGACTTGTCGCTCTCCCGTGCTTTCTTGACTTGTGTCTCTCCCGTGCTTTCTTGACTTGTCGCTTTCCCATGCTTTCTTTGACTTGTCGCTCTCCCATGCTTTCTTGACTTGTCGCTCTCCCATGCTTTCTTGACTTGTCGCTCTCCCATGCTTTCTTGACTTGTCGCTCTCCCATGCTTTCTTTGATTTGTCGCTAGCACTGGGAGCCCAAAGAGAGAAACCAGAACCGGGCCGGGAATAAACTGTGGGGTGTAACCCCCTCTGGAATCATTGTAGCTCCAGCTCTTACCCCCAGGGGCCACGTTATGAACCCTAATAGACGCCTATGCTGCCCTCCTATCCTTCGGGGGTGCTGTGTGTGTGTCCATGTCTGTGTGCGGGGTCAGAGCAGTCCTCTTTGTGCTCACACCTGTGCAGAGGTGATGTCAGATGTTTGTATCTTCTCTGCACCCTGGGGACCCTGGATGAGCTCACCTCCCACAGGCTCCAAGTGCTAACGAAGCCCTCCCATGCTGGCCTGGGTCTGGGCTTTTCATTGGCTCCAAAGACTAAGGCTGGTTTAGGGGGACCCTGAGGACGGGTCAGAACCATTTTGGGGTCTGACGTAGAAGTCACGTGACTCTGTGACTGCTGTCGGGCCTGCGTGCTGGATGGCAGCGTGGCTTCCCGCCTCTGAGACTTCAGCATCACCCGGCTCCCTGAGTCTCTGGCTCCCCTGCCCTTGCTGGCCTGGCCTCGCAGCCCCGGCGGTGCCTGCATCTCTGGGCTGCCTGGGCAGCCTAATGTGGAGCCTGTAGTGAGGGCTTTCCAAAGCCTGTACTTCCTGTCCTGCTTGACTGGGGCCGGGCCTCGCTGGACTCTGCCATGCAGGCGCAGTGCACAGAAGGAAGCAGTCACTGAGGAAGTCGGGAGGGGACGTGTCCTGATCCGGGTCTGGAGGTGCCGCTGACCCTGAGAGTGAGCCATCGATCTGATGGCTTCCTCTGTCCGGAAGCTGTGGCCGAGATGTCCTTCCTTCCTCCTCGCCAGCCCGGATCTGCCTCTTCCCAGGCTGGGAAAGGCCAAGGAGGCTCGGGTAGAGCTGTCAGAGCCCCAGGCTGACTCAGAAAATGTGTTTATTGCATCAGTAAAGCAGGGTCTTGGCTCGGACACGGGATGCTGGGGTCACTGCACCTGGAAGGCCATGCATTGTGAAGGCCAAGGCTGGCCCTGGGGTGGTGGGAGCCTGCACCTAGCCCCTCCTGCCCTGCCCAGCCTTGCCTTGTTTCTGCAGAGCTGGCAGCCGTGGCGCGGCGGTTCTCCCAAACGGGCGTCCAGGACTTCCTGACGCTGACCCTGACTGAGCGGACGGGGCTGTTGTATGTGGGCGCCAGGGAGGCCCTCTTTGCCTTCAGCGTAGAGGCTCTGGAGCTGCAAGGAGTGGTGAGAGGTGGGGCCGTGGGAGGCACTCAGCGGGATGAGAGAAGGCAGGGCCCAGAGGGGCTTTGCTTGGTCGGGTCGTCCCCTCAGCCCAGCCCCCTGGGATGAGAGAAGGCAGGGCCCGGAGGGGCTTTGCTCGGTCGGGTCGTCCCCTCAGCCCAGCCCCCTGGGATGAGAGAAGGCAGGGCCCGGAGGGGCTTTGCTCGGTCAGGTCATCCCCTCAGCCCAGCCCCCTGGGATGAGAGAAGGCAGGGCCCGGGGTGGCTTTGCTCGGTCAGGTCATCCCCTCAGCCCAGCCACCCGTTCTCTACCCCCTCCTTTTCCATGTTGAGGTCTTGCTCACCCCACAAGGCCAGCCCTCCAGCCAGAATTTGCATGTTGCTTCCCTACCCCTACCCCACTTTTGTAGCACTTACTGGATTCTGCTGTCATTGGGCAGTGGGGCTGCTGTCCTCTGCTAAAGTCAGCCCCCGAGAATGGGGGCTGTGTCTTCTCACTTGGTGTCCCCCAGATGGCTGCTTCAGGCCATGCAGCGGCACGCATCGGTAGGTGCCTGTGATGCTGCTGACGCGTCCCCTGTCTGTCCCCAGATCTCGTGGGAGGCCCCAGCCGAGAAGAAGGTTGAGTGTATCCAGAAGGGGAAGAGTAACCAGGTGAGTGCTGGGAGGCACAGGGCCTCGTCTCGCACATGCTCTCCGCAGCACGTTGGGGGCCCCCGTCTCCCCTTGTTCCAGGACTGGTCTCAGTCCGTTCTTGGCTGTTATGTCCCCATGTCTTGGGCCCCTCGTACTCCCACCAACTGGACGCCTTTCTCCACCCAGACGGAGTGTTTCAACTTCATCCGCTTCCTGCAGCCCTACAACGCCTCCCACCTGTATGTCTGTGGTACCTACGCCTTCCAGCCCAAGTGCACCTACATCGTGAGTGCGGCTCCTCCCCTCGGGCCCCTCTGCAGTCCACCTCTGTTCCCCGGGCCCCTTGAGGTCTTCCCCTCTGTGTTTCAACCTCACTGTCTCTCTCCCTGCTTCCAGGACATGCTTAGCTTCTCTCTGGAGCGCAGAGAGTTGGAGGATGGGAAGGGAAAGTGTCCCTATGACCCGGCCAAGGGCCACACTGGCCTCCTTGTGGGTGAGTGGCTATCCCTGATACAGGCTAAGGGTGTCCCCCGGGGACTTGGTTACACCCTGGGGCTGTGTTGGCCTGAGCGTGTCTTCAGCTCACTTCCAGTCTGGCTGACCTGTCTCCTCTAGATGGCGAGCTGTATTCGGCCACGTTCAACAACTTCCTGGGCACAGAGCCTGTTATCCTGCGTAACATGGGGCCCCACTACTCTATGAAGACGGAGTATCTGGCCTTTTGGCTCAACGGTGAGCCCTGAGGCGCTGGTTTGGGGACTGGGGAAGCCTTTGTATGGGGGAGGGACTGTGAGGGTCCCCAGTACCCCGCCACTGACCCTCCTCCTCTTCCCATAGAGCCGCACTTCGTGGGCTCTGCCTACGTGCCTGAGAGCGTGGGGAGCTTCACGGGTGACGATGACAAGATCTACTTCTTCTTCAGTGAGAGGGCCGTGGAGTACGACTGCTACGCCGAGCAGGTGGTGGCTCGGGTAGCCCGGGTCTGCAAGGTACAGAACCCTCCCCATTGACGGGCCCTGCCTGGCAGCCCCACTGGCTTGGCCAGGCTGACAGCCAGTGTCTCCTTGCCATCTGCCAGGGAGACCTGGGGGGCGCACGGACCCTGCAGAGGAAGTGGACCACGTTCCTGAAGGCGCGGCTGGTGTGCTCTGCGCCCGCCTGGCAGCTGCACTTCAACCAGCTGCGGGCTCTGCACACCCTGCAGGACACCTCTTGGCACAACACCACCTTCTTCGGGGTTTTTCAGGCCCGATGGTGAGTGGGCCAGGAACCCTTGGGAACGGGTAGGAGCAGGTTAGCGGGTGTGAGGACCTGGACCCGGCCCCTTGGTCAGTTATCCAGAGGCCAAGGAGGCTGCTGGACACCTGCCCCTTTCCAAGGCTCACTGGGAGGTGGACAGTGCCCTGCCCTGGGTGGCACTTAATAGCCTAAAAGGCCTGGCGATCTACTTCTGAAAAATCAGCCATTGAAAAGCCTATTTTCAGTACTGAGGCACATGGGGTCGCCGTGCGTCAAAATCGACTTGGCGGTAACTGAAAACGTTCTCACGCCCGTGATTGTCTTGTGCTGGGTCCTGCCTTACTGCCACATTGCCTGTGCTGCAGAGGGCAGGGGACAAGGTGGGCATCAGACCTGAGCTTTGGGGTCCCTCTCCCTGCTGCAGGGGCGATGTGGATCTGTCAGCAGTCTGCGAGTACCAGTTGGAAGAGATCCAGCGGGTGTTCGAGGGCCCCTACAAGGAGTACCGTGAGCAGGCGCAGAAGTGGGGCCGCTACACCGACCCAGTGCCCAGCCCGCGACCCGGCTCGGTGAGTCCTTGAGGGCGGGGCGCGGCTCCCCACTCAGCCCCAGGGCCGGCCCTGCCCGGGCTGACTGGCTCTGGTCCCCACACCCCCCGCCCTTCAGTGCATCAACAACTGGCACCGCCATCACGGCTATAGCAGCTCTCTGGAGCTGCCCGACAACACGCTCAACTTCATTAAGAAGCACCCACTGATGGAGGAGCAGGTGGGGCCTCGGTGGGGTCACCCCCTGCTCGTGAAGAAGGACACCAACTTCACCCACTTGGTGGCTGACCGGCTCACTGGCCTCGACGGAGCCACCTATACAGTGCTGTTCATTGGCACAGGTATGGCAGGTGGACGTGCGGCCGTGGCCGACGGAGGCTGCGTGAAGGCCTGTGGCCAGGGCAGGGAGATCTGGAGACCACAGGCCCTCCTGCCGTCTCACTGACATCCTCTGCCCCCACCCTCAGGAGACGGCTGGCTGCTCAAGGCCGTGAGCCGGGGGCGCTGGGTCCACTTGATTGAGGAGCTGCAGGTGTTTGATCAGGAGCCCGTGGAAAGCCTAGTCCTGTCCCAGAGCAAGGTAGGAAGTCAAGCCCCCACCCACCACCTTCCCAGGGCTCCTTCTGTCTCACCCCTTCTGCCCTGCCCACCTTTCCCCAGCCTGGTTTGTGTGATTGGCCAGGACAGGGATCGGGAAGCAGTGCGCACACACCTCTGTGAGTTTGAGGCAAGTTCCCAGAAATAAGAGCGCTGAGGAGTCTGTACTCCGCCGGGTCATTATATATCGCCCAGTCCCTATGGAGATGCATTCCTGGAGCTGAGTGCCGGCAGTGGCTCTGACGTTTCTGTCAAAGCCCTAAAGTTGGGCCGGGTGGCTCTGGCTGCAGCTTCTTCCCCAAGCTAAGGGTTCGTTGCACCTGATCCCTGGCACCAGGCTGCCGTGATGTTTGTGGGGCCCTCCTGTGCCTGCTCGGCGTTCTCTTGCCAATCCCCGAGTGCCTGCTGGTCCCCGCCCTCCCTTTCTGTGACCATTTCCCTGAGGTGCTTGCCATGGATACTGGCAGGTTTGCGGCACCTCCTCAGCTATCACGTGCTCACCTTATCAACTTTCGTGACTCAAAGTTGTTCCCCAGAACATGAAATAATGGCAGAAAGAAATGAAGAGTGAATAAACACACAGATAGGCAAGCGCCATTCAAACAGGAAAACCGCTTATGCTCTGCTGGTGCTATTGTGTGGGTAAGGGCATTGAGAAAACTAGATTTCCTGCCCTATTCATGCTGTAACATTTTGTGTGTGTGCGTGAGTGCGATTAGGCGGCTTCACTGCACAGGTATGTTGTTAGGTTTCTAATAAGGTCACGTTGATAAGATGTTTAGGTTTGGGTCTGACTCATGGTAAGCCTTGGTTCTTAGACCCTTGGCCCTTCGTCAGGATGCCAGCACTGCCTGCCTTCCTCCTCCTTTGCTACCTTCTGTCCTTGTGCTCCCCGTGAGCGTCGGAGCCCCTGTGCTCTCCTGGCCGCCTCTCCGGGGCACAGGCTGACCCTTCCTCCTGCACCCGATTGTCCTGCAGAAGCTGCTCTTTGCGGGTTCCCGCTCACAGCTGATCCAGCTGCCCCTGGCCGACTGCGTCAAGTACCGCTCCTGCGCAGACTGCGTCCTGGCACGGGACCCCTACTGCGCCTGGAACGTCAACACCAGCCGCTGCGTCGCCCCAGGGGCCCACTCTGGGTGAGTCAGGCTCTGTGTGTGCTGAAGCAGGGAGAAGGGCAGGGCAGCTGGAGTCGGGGTCCTGACCGATCCTGCTTCTCCTGCCAGGTCCCTGCTGGTGCAGCTCGTGGCAATCTCAGACACCTCGGCCATTTGTAACCTGCGCGGCACCAAGAAAGGTGAGCTGACTTGTTTGTCCCCTTCCGAGGGAGTGGCCCTGGGTCAGAACTGGAGCACCCACATCTCCCCGTGGCCCTGGGCTTCCCGCTCTAACTCTCTGCCCTCTTTCTTTGTCTGCCCTGCAGTCAGGCTCACTCCCAAAAACATCACGGTGGTGGCGGGCACGGACCTGGTGTTGCCCTGCCACCTCTCTTCCAACCTGGCCCACGCCCGCTGGACCTTTGGTGGCCGGGACCTGCCCTCGGAACAGCCTGGCTCCTTCCTGTACGACGCCCGGCTCCAGGCCTTGGTGGTGATGGCAGCCCAGCCCCACCACGCCGGGGCCTACCACTGCTTTTCGGAGGAGCAGGGGGCACGGCTGGCTGCCGAAGGCTACCTCGTGGCTGTGGTGGCCGGCCCATCGGTGACCCTGGAGGCCCGGGCGCCCCTGGAAAACCTGGGGCTGCTGTGGCTGGCTGTGGTGGCCCTCGGGGCCGTGTGCCTGGTGCTGCTGCTGCTGGTCCTCTCACTGCGCCGGCGGCTGCGTGAGGAGCTGGAGAAGGGCGCCAAGGCGGCCGAGAGGACCCTGGTGTACCCTCTGGAGCTGCCCAAGGAGCCCACCAGTCCCCCCTTCCGGCCCGGCCCCGAGACAGATGAGAAACTTTGGGATCCCATTGGCTACTACTACTCGGACGGCTCCCTGAAGATCGTGCCTGGTCACGCCCGGTGCCAGCCCGGCGGTGGGCCCCCTTCACCACCTGGCATCCCAGGCCAGCCCCTGCCTTCTCCCACGCGGCTTCACCTGGGGGGTGGGCGGAACTCCAACGCCAACGGTTATGTGCGCTTGCAGCTAGGAGGGGAGGACCGGGGAGGGCTCGGGCACCCGCTGCCGGAGCTCGCCGATGAACTGAGGCGCAAACTGCAGCAGCGCCAGCCACTGCCCGACTCCAACCCCGAGGAGTCGTCAGTATGAGGCGAACCCCCCCATCACGTTGGGGGGTGCGTGGGAGGTGCAACTCCTCCTCTTGCACAGCACAGCTACCTCAGGGACATGGCACGGGCACCACGCTGCCTGGGACAGACCCGCCCGGCACCCGCCCGGCCGTGAGGTCCTGCTCTGCTCAGCACGGGCACTGCCACTTGGTGTGGCTCACCAGGTCACCAGACTCAGAGGGGGCATCTCCCTCCTCTCTGTGAATCACGGACACATGGGACCCCAGCAGCCAAAACTTTTCAAGGCAGAAGTTCGAGATGTGGGTGTGTTTTTGCATATATGTGTGTGCGTATGTGGGTGTTTGCTCGTGTGTGTGACATGGCCTTGCCGTTTCTGTCGAGTCTTCCCTTGGCCTGGGGCCTCCTGGTGAGTCTTTTGGAGCTATGAAGGGAAGAGGGCCGGACCACTTTGCCTCTTCTACCCCCACCTGTCCCCAGAGGGGCAGGGCTGTACATATGGGGGCGGGGCGGGCAGGGTGCCGTGTCCCTTTTTGGGGGGAGTTCAGGGCTCAGGAGTGGGCCTAGCGCTGCTCTGAGGGCCGTGAATGTTTTCAGGGTGGGGGGGAGGAGGTGGAGCCTCCCGTGTGTTTGGGGGGAAGGGTGGGAGGGGCCCCCCGGGATTCAGTGGTATTTTATACTTGTCCTCTCTTAAGGGCTGGGAAAGGTTGGGGTGGGGGAGGGAGCGGGTGGGTGTGCTGTGGATCTGGCGTATCCGCTCCCAGCCCTGGCAGGGGGGCTTCTGACAGTGTAACTTATTGTGTCTCCGCGTATTTATTTGTTGTAAATATTTGAGTATTTTTATATTGACAAATAAAATGGAGAAAATGTCACTGTGATGGGGCTGAGTGAAACACTTGGGCGCTGAGAGGGAAGCTAGGCTGGATCGTGTGCCTTGACAGTCCCAGCACAGCGGCTGGGCTGAGGCCCCTGCTTGCTTGTGCTCCTCTTGAGGGGGGAACAGCCAAGGCCCAGTTTTTTCCCACAGTGGTGGCTATGGGGCTGGGATCCAGACCTCTCCCACAGCCTCTTGGGAGCGAGCCTTGGCTTCTAGCCAAAGGGAGAAGTCAGGGCATTAGGAGTCAAGGCGGGGAGGAGGAGGAGCTGCCTTCCCAGAAGTCAGAGGGGACCAGAGGAGGGGAACTTCCTAGAAGCAGTTTAAGGATGGCAGACTGGGTACTCGACTGTGTAAAGCTGGGGCTCCCAACCAGCTTCAACCAAAACCAAACCCACCACCGTGGAGTTGATTCTCACTCGCAGTGACCCTATGGCACGGAGTCTAACTGCCCCGTCGCATTTCCGGCGCTGTTGATCTGTTTCTTAAATAATACTGTGTTTTAGGGGAAAGTTTACACTACACAGCAAATTAGGTTCCCATTTAACAACTTTTATAAAAATTGTTCTGTGACATTGGTTACGCTTTTCACAATGTGTCCGCATTCTCATTATTTCCATTCTGTTTTTTCTGTTTCCATTAATCTAGCTTCCCTACCCCTCATTACATTCGCATCTTTGCTTTAGGGTAAGTACTGACCGTTTGGTCTCATATAGTTGGTTGTTTAAGGGAACCCAGTACTCACGGGTGATTTATTTGTTTTATAAGCCAGTCTATTTGGATGAAAGGTGACCTCTGGCAGTGGCTTCAGTTCAGAGTTCAAAGGGTATCTTAGGGCTGCGATAGTCTCTACGGGTCCAAGGCTGTAAATCCTTACAGAAGCAGAGAGCCACATCTTTCTCCTGCAGACAGTGCTGGGGTCAAACTACCGACCTTTCAGTTAGCAGCTGAGTGCTTTAACCACTGCACTACCAGGGCTCCTAGGTCAGGGGAGGCATTTCCTCCAGGAATGCTGAAGTCTTTAATGCTCCAGCTACATGGGAACGTGGAATCTACCCCTGTTCCCACCCAGTGGGAGCCCTGGTGGCTTAATGGTTAAGAGCTACAGCAGCTAACCAAAAGCTGGGTGGTTCGAATCCACCAGCTGCTCCTTGGAAACTCTATGGGGCAGTTCTGCTCGGTCCTATAGGGACTCTGAGTCGGTATCAACTCGACAGCAATGGGTTTTTTGTTTGTTGGCCACCCAGGGGGCACCAAGCCGCTGTCCTAGTGAGGGAGTGGTATGGGGCCGGATGTTTATTAGGAAAACAGAACCCAGTCTGGGTTTTGTAGCCCCTCCACCGTTTCTGAGTGCCCCTGATGAGGACACATTCAGATGTCAAAGGTGAAGGGGGTTCTGTGAGGTCTTGAACAGGCCGCGGCCCTGTCTTCTCCAGCAGAATGATGAGGCTGGGATCGTGCCGACTTGAGTCGGCTGCGCTTGGGGCATGGTCAGTAGACGGTAGTCCAGAGGGTGCTTTGATAGATGAAGATTTATTCCATAAACTCAGCACCTCCTGTGCGGTGGGGGTCTGGCCCTGTGCCTGGCCTCTGCTTACGTGCCCTTCTAGTGACAGGACAAGGTGTGGCCGGCTTAGGCCAGGACGTGGGGGGGTCATGGAGCTCGACCGGCGACCCCTGGTCCAGGGAGGCCGGTGGGATGGGGGGGTAACGGGAGAGGGCCGAGGAGCCTCTGGGGATTCAGTTCCGGCGAACGTAATGTTTCCGGCTGGGCCTACCCGCCTGGTCCCCACACCCTACTAGGCCGGCAGCCGGGCCCTCCCTCCCACAGAGCGTCGGAACGAGGGAGAGCCCCAGACCAGCGCCTCCCCGCTTCTCCCTAGTCCTCTGCTGTCCCCCCGTGGCGGCTCGGGGCTCGGGCCCGGCGCGACAAGTCCCGCCCCACCGCCTCCATTGGTTCGCGCTCTAAGGTCTAGACCTCTGATTGGTTAGTTCCAATGGCTGCCTGGGGCGTGGGCCTTGCGCGACAAATCCCGCCCCGCCGTCTCGATTGGTTCGCGCACTAAGGTCTAGATCTCTGATTGGCTGGCTCCTGTGCCGCTCGGGGTGCGGCCACACTCAGCCAGGCCCTCCGAGCCGCCTCGATTGGTTCTCGCCCTAAGGCCTAGACCTCTGATTGGTTAGCTTCAGTGGGGTGGTGGGATTAAGAGGACAACAGCGCACGCCGAGTGGTCGGATCCGGGTCTGCGGGGCGGGCGGTGAGCTGGCTTGGCCCCGACGCCGAGCTCACTGCTAACCGTTGGCACGGGACGCCGAGGACGGGATGGCGGCCCCTGGCCCCTGCTCCGATGGTCCGTGCTGCTCCCACCACAGTGCAGTGCCCAGCGTGCAGCAGACGCTAGAGGAGATGGACTTTGAGAGGGGTAAGCAGGAGGGTCACCGGCCGCTGGCCTTTAGGGGCCCCATTGGCGCCACGCAGAGCAGGTGGGAGGCGGCTGTGAACGGGGGTCACCCGGGGGCGGGGCGAGGGCGAACTCGTTAAAACCAGTTGCGATTGAGTCCGTTCAGACTCCTGCGACCCCATGTGTGTCAGAGCAGAACTGCGCTCCACAGGATTTTCAGTGGCTGATTTGTTGGACGTAGATCGCCAGGCCTTTCTTCCGAGGCGCCTTTGGGTGGACTGGAACCGTAAACCACTTGGTTAGCAGTGAGCGCGTTAACCATTTACACCACTCAGGGATTCTGGTGGGCTCGTAGCGCCCTGGTTATTGAGAGCCTGCACAGCAAGGGCTTAGCTGTCAGAGGCATCGTCTGGAATGCAGGTGCGAACACTGAAGCATTGGTTTGGGTAACTTTGCCAGGTAGGGGCGCTGGGCCTGACTCCTAACCCTGTGTGCATCAGGCACGCTCAAGCCTGCTCGGTGTTTGAGGAGCCGTGGAGCAGGATCTGCACCTGGGAGGTTGCAGCCACTCTGAGGGAATGGAGCTTCAGACCTTGGGGGCTGTGCGGTGGAGGGAACGAGCACGTGGTGAGCCTCAGTGCAAGTGCTTTCGACGTGGCAGAGGGCTCCCCACAGAGAGCCCTTGAGACAGGTGAGGTTATCGCTGCCTAGGGGGCCAGAGAGGGAACTATTTTGCCCCAAGTTATAGGGTGCCGAGATTATGCTGCCCATAAGGAACAGAGAGGAGTCCTGGTGGCAGAATGGTTAAGAGCCCGGCTGCTAACCAGAAGGTCAGCAGTGCGAATCCACCAGACGCTCCTTAGAAACCCCATGGGGCAGTCCTCCTCTGTCCTATAAGGTCGCTGTGATTTGGAGCAGACTGGACAGCGGGTTTGGTTTCTTGGTTTGTTTTTAAGATAAATGTTTGCTTGTTTCAACTGGCAAGGTGCTTTTAGCACCTAACTTTGGCCATTTTGACATTCTTCACGTGAACACTGCAGTCCAGTTCATTCTGACTCATAGTGACCCAGTTAAGACAGAGTAGAAGTGCCCTATAGGGTTTCCCAGGCTGGAATCTTTCTGGAAGCAGACTGCCACCTCTTTGTCTCCAGGAGTGGCTGGTGGGTTTGAACCACTGACCTTTCAGTTATAGCAACTGAGCGCTTAACCACTGCGCCACCAGGTCTCCGTAGGTAGAAACGAGGGATGCTGCAAATATTCTCCAACGCACAGGACAGCCTCCCCCCATTCCCTCCCCAGCAAACGCCTACACAGCCCAGAATGTCAGTAGTGCTCCTGTTGAGAACAAAAACGCCGCCCTATCCACAGGAGGACCCCGTCCCCTCCAGGTCACTCTGACGCGTAACAGTCCTTTCATCACAGCGGTTTTTACAATCGGACGTTGTTTTGTTTGTTTATTCATTGTTGTGTTTCCCAGACATGAGAAAGATTCTTACCTATTTTGTTGTGGGTTTTTTGTTTGTTTGTTTGTTTTTTGCTTCAAGTCGTAGTTTCTTGTATCCCGTCATTTCTTTCTGGGTTCATTTTCCTTCTTCCTGAAGTACATCCTTTAATGGTTTTATTCAGTAAGGAAGGATTTTTCCCCCCTCACTCTGAGTGATGCGCTGGTATAAAATACTAAGTTGACAATTATTTTTCCACCTCAGTCCTTTAAAAATATTATTCCTTCATCTTCTGGTATCTGCACAAGTTTGCTGGTAGTGTGATTGTTGGTCTTAACCAAAAAAGCCAAACCCGTTGCCATGGAGTCGATTCCAGCTCATTAGCGACAGCAGCCCTGTGAGTTGTTGGTCTTAGATGAGTGATAATCATTTATTCTGGGTAACTTTTACACTTTATTCTTTTTTTTTTTTTTAATTGTACTTCAGGTGAAGGCTTACAGAATAAATAGTTTCTCATGAAACAGTAGTACACATATTGTTTTATGACATTGGTTAACAACCGCACAACATGTCAACCCTCTAACTTCTTAACCTTTTTTTTT